GAGGGTTTTTCCAATTTCTTGGTCTCTACATTTGCCATATTTGTAGAAGAGGTTTTGGTTCTCTGCAGTCCAGAAAGGAGTGTACAATGATCTGTGTCTCCAGGGATGTTATTCCTTGTGGCAGAGATTGGAAGTTCAGTAAAACTGCCAAAAGTCTTCACTATTGTATTGTAGTCTTCACAGTCATAGTGAAAGTGGCCCACTATGCTTGTTTAAAACTCCAGCCTGCCATCAAGTTTTTAGTAGAGATCTGTGATTTGAGTGCCTGTACAGATCAAGACTGGTCTGTTCTGGCTGTTTGGAAGTCCTTGAGGGTGATCCACAATGTAAGTATTGGTGTGACTCTATGATCTTTAGAAATGAAAGCCAGATGAGGGCAGTATACTCTTCCATCTTACAGAATGGAAAATGAGTTGCTGTTTCACATCAGAAAGGAGGATCATACTTTTGTCTATGCTTATTATGTGAGTTTTTCATCTGCAGTGTTTTTGAGGCATAGCCCCATTGTATATGGTGACTACTATAGTTGTCCACAAATATAGCAGGATTCCTGTGCATTCTTCAGAGCTGCTTGAAGACATAGTATATATGTTAATGATGGCAGGCTTGCCAATGCACACACAAATTGCAGTTGTTGCTTTGTGTGCTGTTGGAGTACATATTTATCTCCCACTTTTTGTAAATTGAAAAATTATGACCTTCAGTGTGATGCACCCTGTGAGTGACAAACCATGGCTCACATAATCAAACCAGTGACCAAACATCAGCTGTTGACCTCCTGGCCAAAGAGTAATAAAATAAGCCTAATGTTTCCTAAAACAGAGTGGCTGTGTCTACACTGGCCGCTTGAATTTCCGCAAGAACACTGACGATCTCATGTAAGAAATCAGTGCTTCTTGCGGAAATACTATGCTGCTCCCGTTTGGGCAAACGTCCTTTTGCACAAAAGCCAGTGTAGACAGCTCAGATTTGTTTTGCGCAAAAAAGCCCCGATCGCGAAACTGACGATCAGGGCTTTTTTCCGCAAAAGCACGTCTAAATTGGCACAGATGCTTTTCTGCAAAAAGTGCTTTTGCGGAAAAGTGTCCGTGCCAATCTAGACACTCTTTTCCGCAAATACTTTTAACGGAAAACTTTTCCGTTAAAAGCATTTGCGGAAAATCATGCCAGTCTAGACGTAGCCAGTATGAATAGCCTAAGGCTGACTCATTGCTGTGAAAGCTTACCCCTATGGGCTAAATTGAGAGGTAATTGATTAAAGACTGGTTAATTAATTAGTTAACAAAGGAATCCAGCTCATGAGCTGTGGTTGATTAAAGGGGGAGATAAGACGAAGGAGGGAAAAGGTAGAGTAACAGTCCAGGATGTCAGAGAGATGAGTCTCCCAGCACTATGCATAGGCAGCAGGGTGAAGCTTGGGGAAAATCTTATGCTGTGAGGATTCTGATGTAATTAATAAAATCTAAAACTTAAGAATTTTAATAAATGTACATCAAACTACGTAATTACTTAAATTAAGATTCATAGATATAGTATACCCAGCTGGTTAGCAAAAATAAATACTAAATATGTGCAATGGCTATATTTAATTGCAAATCAACATTTTTATCTGTTACCAACCAATGAGGATCAACATTTTTTGGGGAAAGTAACTGAAAAGTACAAATAGAAAACAGTATTAAAATAAATTATTTAAATCCAGGTTTTCTGCTTGTTTAAAATCATGGTTAAATGTAGTGATTTAAATAATTTCAGTTTAACTCCATCCTCCCCACATTGAGCAGTGTCATTATCTTCCTTGTTTGTCCCCTTTACTTGTTAGTTGATCCCACCACATTTTTTAGCAGGAGGAGGGTGGTCATTGTTTGGCATGATGAAAGAGAGGATGCTTTACAAGTGTGTGTGTGTGGCAGAGGGTATGGTTACCTGGACTGTGTACTTTTACAGCAAATAGTAAAGTTGCAGCCTGATTAAAACTGTATCTAGTATCTCCTTTCCATCTTTTGTATAGCTGGACAACAACAGAAATACCAATTCTATTTCAGAGATCCTATATCTGATATACAGAATTTCTTCTTGATTTTTATACCTTTGGCTTTTTGCTCTTCAAATTCCAACTTAACTCTCCTAATTTCCATTTTACCTATTGCCTTAAGCTCCACTAGTGTTGGACTTCCATTTTCATAATTATACTTGTTTGGCCTGAATAACCTTCTTGAACCTTACCATTTAGTTATACTGATTTATTTCTTGCATCTAATGATATGTTTATATCATCTCCATGCAGGGACTAAAGATTTTAATTTCCTAGTGCATATAATTACCTCCCCTATATTACACTCATTTCTATATTAAAAGCAGTTATACATTCTTTTGCAATGATTTCTGTTATAGAGACATTTACTAAATGCCTCGGGAATATTTTCACTATCTTCTGAATAAATTCAGAAAAGTTGTATGTTTTTATATTAACATAGAAAACTCAAGCTAATTGTTTTCATGTAAAGTCATAGTTTACCTCAGTGTAGTAGAGGTCAAACCTATATCTATATTAAAAGCAGTTATACATTCTTTTGCAATGATTTCTGTTATAGAGACATTTACTAAATGCCTCGGGAATATTTTCACTATCTTCTGAATAAATTCAGAAAAGTTGTATGTTTTTATATTAACATAGAAAACTCAAGCTAATTGTTTTCATGTAAAGTCATAGTTTACCTCAGTGTAGTAGAGGTCAAACCTATATCTGTGTGAGTTTGTTTTTTGTTTAGCCACACTGACTTGAAGACTTTTTATGCATTGTCTCCACTAGGGCTTTACATGACTTTAGCTATCTTGATATAAAAATAACCATTTTTTTTGTTTTGTTTAGTAAAATGACAACTTGTGCTGATACAACATCCCATTGAAGTCAGTTGCAGTGGATGGTCCCCTATTTGCCCTCTGTTATAAAAAGAAAACCAGTAGTAGGCAAAAACTTGTTTTTGTTGATCCTAAGATTCCACATAAAAATTAAATTTCCCCTTACAAATACCCTCTTCATTCCCCACACGTGTAACCTAATTTGTCTGAAACCCCCACCACTAAAATACTTCCTTTTTTGAAAGAGTTCAAATTCTGCTTTGTAATTCTGCACCTTGTTAGCAGAAGTAAAATATATTTTTTCTTGTTTTGTTCAATGCATTAAGTGGAACAGTCACAACATACACTATCACTGGAATTTGTCCTGATATATTTGTAGACCTTTTCTTGTTAAATGGCAGATGTAAATTGGATCTGGGCATGGGTAGCAAGTGGGGGTATGCCTCTTCAAACAGCCAGGTCTGGCCCTGCCCACTCTGCGACCCAAGGCCCTGCTCTGGCGGTGCTGCTGGGCTCCAGGGACTGGGGTCATGCATCCACCTTCTTGGAGCTGGGGAGTCTGCAGTGGCACTACTGCATACTCTTGTGCTCTCCCTCCTGGCTTGCTGGGGTGGTAGAAACTGCAGGTGCTAGCCAGCCTGGTTGGGGAGGTAAGAGGCCTCTGGATAACTTCTGGGGCATGCAGAAGCAGTGGGCAGAGCAGGGTGCAAGCCTCCAAGCCAGCAGTTCACACGCTGTACATGTATGTTGTGGGGCTTGCTTTCAGAGAATGAGTTAACTGTTATACAAATATTTATAAATAAGATGTCACAACTCTTTGTGTCTTTTGCATAACGCTTTGATTTTGTCACAGGTAATTTTAGTAATAGGCATGGACATGTCACTGGCAATAAACAAAATGTAAGGTAAGCTTGTAACGTGCCCCTGACTTCTTTTTACTAACAATACACTTAGAGGAACAAACAGGATGCTGCCAGAGCTTACAGGTGCTCCAGCCCCACTGCTGCTCCTGCATCTAGGGCTGATCCAACTTCATTTGTGGCTTTCGTAGAATAGGGGTGCTGTCCCAGCAGCCCTATGGTTGACCATGTGTCAACTTTTCCTTCAGTCCTGAGGCTGTTGCAGTCCTGCCACAGAAAGTCATGGAATCTGTGACCTCCCTGACATAATAGTAGCCTTATGTATTTGAATTTATCTACTGACTTCTGAGTTGTACAGTGTCATGGCTGGACAACAGGCTGACTTTCCATATGACAGGTAGAAATACTATGTAGGGCCTGAAACAAAGAGAACAGACCCTATATTTAGGGCCTGAGCTCACCTAAATACTGGGAGAACCTCTTAGTTGATTTCAGTAGGAGCTGGATGAGCTGTGGAAAAAGGAGCTCATGTTTACAATAAACAATGTGTCAGAGTTTCATTTACATCACAGTCCCTTTATACCACACTAATAGTATAAAGTATCCTTAAAGTGAATGTAAATATAATTAGTCTCGGAAGGATTAGATTTTTTGATAACTGGCTGTAAGCTTCCATTTTCACCATAAAAAAATTTCCGTAGATAGGTAAAGTTAGAAAAATAATGTTTGAGAATTTATTAGAGTTAGATTTAAGGACATTTATTTGTACATATTGATATGATTTTGACAATTTGTGTTAACATTTTAATGGTTGCAAAGTGTTAACTTTTCAAATCTCAGTGTCTATCACTAAATTATTTTCTGATACCCCTCTAGCTTTCTATAGCTGTTAACATTTAAATACAACTGTGAGACTTGCATTTAACTCAATGGCCTTTCCAGTTTTTCTTATTTTGTATATAGTTATATATCTTATTTTACTTCATATATCAGCAAGGGTACTGAGTTAACTTAGAAGTGGAAATCTTCAGCTGAATTTTCTTTTATGCCTATAAAATTTCAATCTAAATATTTAAGTACCATTGTTTTTAGCATATAATTTACTTTGTTTTTCATTTTTCTTAAGTATTAGTGTACAGAAGGAAATTATAAGTACTGAGTTTCATTTTATTCTTTAATAACAATAAAAGCATCAACAGTCCAACTTATTCAGTCACTCAGAATTACCTACATTTTTATCTACTGTGAACAAAAATAACAGAAGTTCTGTTTTTACAGCAAAATTCCTTTGGCTGAAGTTCT